TGCGAAACATGGACAGTGGGCGCGGCGGAAAAGAAAAGGTTAGAAGCGTTCGAAATGTGGTGTTACAGGCGAATGATGAGGATACCGTGGATAGAGAAGGTTAGAAATTAGAAAGAATAGGAGAACAGAGGATTATATGGAAGTCAATGAGAAATAGGCGAGATAGGTTGGTAAGACACCCTCTCAGGCACGAAGGTCTAGACAGAGACGTATTAGACCTAGATTAGATTACCGTTCATAAATGGTTAAGGATTTGGGATGTTCTATTTTTAAGGAAATGCAAAGATTAGCTCAGGATAGGAAAGAGTGGAGTTGCGTGTCCAACCAGTCTTATGACTGACGACCTTATGATAATCATGACCATAGGCGCCATATGTCTATCTCGTTTTGTTTTCGAGATATCGCTTATCGAAAGTCAAATCTCTAAATTGTGAAATTGATACAAATTATGATTTATATTATTATTTAGGAATAAGAAATAATATAGTACACAAATCAATAAATAATATAAATTAGGACAAACAACCCATTCCGATACAATCTTAATTACCAATTTTCATTAAATAAGTTTTTCGTTATACTTAATAAATTCTTATTTCTAGTATCTGTTTTTTAATTTTTTTTTCTGGTAAAATTACGCGACGCTGGCGGTAACCGGTGTCATTATCCGGTACTCGGCCGGACACAAACCGAGTACCCGCTCCTTCTCTAATCCTCTGTATTGTACCTCTGGTGCTTTTTCCATCCCGAGTTATCTGACTTCCTAAATATCGAAAATCACCGCTGTTTTCCAGTTTATCTTCTTCTATTTTTATTTTAGTTCCAACCTCACTTTTACATGCGTTGCATCTTTGTTTTATTTTTATTAATTTTTATACCCTACTCGTCTAACAATACCACTTCTCTTCTATCCCTAATTCTCATCCTCCCATACTCAAACAATTTTAATACCTTCTCGCATTTAACATTGTCAAAAGATTTTTCTACATCAACGAATCCTATGTTATATGCTCCTTCTTTTTTCTATCGTCTCCTTAACTAATATCTGTAAAGCTAAAATTTCTTCCATCCCATTATCCATCCTTTCCTGCACGATTCTAGCTGACTTTTGACGAATGAAACGTTAAGGTAATTGTTCTAAAATTCTAAAAACTATCCGCGCCTCCCGTTTTTCGTATGGCCACAACCTTATTCGCCATTTTGTAATCATCCAGAATTTTTCCCTTCTCGTAAATGTAATTAATTAATTTAAACAAACGAACTGTAACTTTTTGGCTTGGTTGTTTTAAAACTTCCACCTGTACCCCATATAACCTTACTATTTCTTAAATTTTTTAATAACAAACTCTTCTCTCATCATGGGATATCTTCTATTCATTCATCTACCTCCACGATGCCTTTTTCTCTTTTCTAATGCATCTCCTCACTCTTGTCCTACGTATAGATTTCCTAAACATTAATAATATTCTAAAGGATTAGCTAGATGTATTTTAACTCAACAACTTTTCTGTTAAACAAACTTCAACAAGCACAGACAAAACCATTGTAACAACGCAACCTAACGAATAGAGTATGTTACGTTAAAGTATTGATGAGTCCTGAATTTTAAACAACGAAACTTTTAATGAGACAAGCGAATTTAGTTATACCTCGTAACATCTGCTGATACTTTGCAATTCGTTTGAAGAAGTTATTTGTGCAGCAGGTAACGTATACTGTTCGATGTCGTAACAATTACTTCGGATTAGTTTGGTAATCGATAAAGGTTACAAGAACTTTAGTTGACGATATAAATGTCTTACCGTTTAATTAACGATCGGTTTATGAACTTAAGGGTAAGTTACGATTTGAGAGTTTAAATGAGAATTTAATTATTCAGAATTGCCTGTCGAATACTAATAATTAGTTTGCTGTTATGAATAAGTGAATTAACACTGTCTATCGTGTATTACGAGAACTATGATGTTATCCTTACAATATAAATACATTTTTTAAAACGGTATAATAAACAATGGAATTTAAGAAGAAGACCAAGATACCAAGTCTAAAAGAGAGAACGCTGCTAAAAGGCTCTTGTTGCTGTTGTATTGTTAGGCTATAATATACGCACTGCACAGTTTCTAGTGGCGTTAGTTAAATGAATAATATTGCTCGCTTAGAAGGATACCGGCAATGATTCCTTAGGATCGCTTAGACATGCTGAAATGCTGAGTCAATAATATTCCACAAACATTCTTTCATTCTCCTCTGTCTTGATTTCATCCGTTTTATCTTTCTCAACCGAACCTTCACCCACCTATTCCCACAATTCTTAAAAGGGGACTGAATAAGAACTTTCACCTTACCTTCCTCCCTTTCTCCACAATGATAACCGAGAGGGGTGGGCGCATGGTTACGGAGGAAGAGAGACAGGTATCGCTCGTATCTATATCTGTCTCTGTTGCATACAATGTACCAGTGTACCTGAAAATTCAGAAAAAGGGCTTCTCAGGTAATCACGGCTAAGAAGTCAAGGTTTGACCGCCTGTCCTAGAACCTAGGGAAACGCTGTCAGCGATATGATAGAGACGATTGGAACTTATTTTGTTGTTAATACTATCGATAATATAATTTATGGACCTTAGATATTAAAAATAATGAAAAGAAATTGTAAACTTGAAATCAATTTGAATTACCCAGCATTAGTGTCGCCAGATATTTAATTAGTAGTATGCTTTAGATTATTAATTTCATTCTTATCATAACTTACATTGGCCGTAACAAGTAAGCATGTTTCATATCTGCAAATCTCGTTTCGTGGTAGGTACTAACAGCAGAGGTATTATATGTGATTCGAATGCGAATACGGCAAAGTTTTAGTTTGAAACTTCCATAACTGTCGCATCAAACACAAACAAAAGTTCACCTATTTGTTCGTCTGGCACTTGGAGAGCTTTAAAGGTGTTCATATGGAAATTCAAACAATAGACTCTGTACGACATACCTACCGAACGTATTTGTATAAATCAAGGAAATGCACTTTCCTTATTCTTTTCATTTGCTCCATATATGTACTTATGGCATATTGAACTTATTAATATGTAAGGGTTATATATATTGAAAAGGTCACTCCATATTCGTATTTTTGATCGGTTAGCGGCTGTTACTGTCCGATTTCCTTATAACCAAAAAGTATACCGATTACTTCATATCGCATATTGCCTGCCTATTTGCTCCAGATGGATGGGCACGGAGCCGGAGAGATGGGATAAGTACGGTACCTCGTAATATGCGGTATCCAAAATGCCAGGTCTATAACATAAGCAGCCGCAGGTATTTAATACTGAAATTAAAATCCCAGACGACCCCTATACGGGCAGACCACACGACCCTTAAAACTAAGGTCATCCGCCACCAATTCCACTAAATGTGGGAAAAGGCCGGAGCGTTACGGTTGGTAAAAGATGTATTATTGGGGACAACCGCAACATAGGAATCGTTACATTAATCTAAATAAACCCGTATT